ATCAAGAGTCATTCCGTATCTGTAAGTAAATTTCCCTCTGACATCAGAATTGAGGAACAAGTGAAAACACATCTTTTTTGCTGATTCTTTCCATTCCATTTGTTTGTGGTTCAGGTCTTGGCTATATGTTGAAGGCTGTAGTATTATTTTTTAATCTAAACTGTATTTTCCATAGTAGAGAGGATCATTTGTTTTGCGTGTTACTTTAAATAACAGAAACATCTTGGTTATAAAAGCTGAAGAAGAGAGGCTTAAAGATTCTAAATATTTGATACTGTTTAATAAGCATATCTACTAAAAATAGCCTTTGTAAAGAAGGGTAGTAACTCATTCTGTAATATTCCTGGTCAACAGCAAAAGCCATAAAGATTTTTTTTTTTCCTGAAATGATTAATGGCTGTGTATCTGAAGTCCTGCAAATTTTTGCTATGCTTAGCAGAATCTAAGATTTTAAAAGAAAGACTATCTTGTACTCCTGCTTGTGAAAATAGCTCTTCCTTTATTCTGTTTTGTTTGCTTTCATGCCAGCCAAGCTAGAAAAGTAAGCAGGACCATCAAGCTATGCTAATGTGAGCCATTTCATCTGTTCAGTGTCCAAGAGGCTTGATTTCTTATCTGCCATCATCCCTCCATGAAGTGTATGTGTGCGTGTGTGGGGAATGCAGGATTGGGCACAAATCTTGTACCCTCTGAAGACACTTTGTCCAAAACAAACACTCAGTTCCAGTAAGTGTAATTTAGTTGATAAATATCTAACAGCTTTCTGGAGAGGAACCTCTGCTTTTTTTTCCTGCAGTGTACCAAAAGCATTTTTAGTACGATCCTGATCCTGAAGTCCTTGAACACTGACATGAGGGCATGTAGTACTATTTGTGTATTGATGGTGCCAAACCATCTACATGCTTTATTATTTGCTTTCCTCAAAAATGTGGCGTCGTTCTAGACTGCTTAGAGACCGAGCCATTTGTTTAATATTTCATGGTGATGAAAGAGAAGAACAAGACAGATCAAACCAGTATCCATGAAATGAAAATGAGCGTACTGATTTCTATTATCCTGGTGTGGAAGACCAGGAGACTTTATTGTTCTTGGAAGTGTTGTGATTGCTTTTGTTGGTGACGCTACTAATAGTCTTCCCCTGTCATCTGCACATGTGTAACTCCCTGGGCATTTTCTGTTGATGTCTTCATCCAGATTACCTGTTCTCAGGATACAAACTTAAATCCAAAAGGTAATGAAAGATTTTACCGAATGCGTGAAATAGAATACAGATCACAGAGGCCATACAACCTCAGTGTGAAGGGGAGAATACAGATCACAGAGGCCATACAACCTCAGTGTGAAGGGGAGAATCGGCAGTATCACACCCTGAGTGTTTAGATCTCATGTGAAGCTGTTGTCTTCAGACATACTCAGTTTTGAACAAATGTATAGACCTGATTTTTAAGCATGAACATTTGTCACCATTAGTTTATATATGTAGTATGTATGCGTATGTAATATGTATATGCATATAAAAATTGCTGATTTAAGGCGCCTAATTTAAGAAGACACATGGCCACCTGTTTTGGCCATGATTTGAAGGGGAGTTAAGCAGGTGTTTTGGTGCTTTGCTCATTTGGGGAAAGCCATGTATGACGTGTTGGCCAATAAAAGACGCACTGAATGATGTCCTGCTTCTATAGTCAGACTGTTACGCTGCTAAAGCAGGTGGAGAAGAGTTGCACTTGCAAAGAAATGGAAGGATCGCCTGAATTGATGTGGCCCATGTGCCAGGAGGGAGTTCTGTAACGCCAGCTGTGGTGCTGCCTGGGATCTCTGGCTGTTGAATGGGTTGGGTACCTTTGAAGTCACATAAATTGCTGCATCTCTCTCTTTTTTTTTTTTTTTTTAAAGTCATTCTGTATTTTTACATTTTACAATGTGAGATAAAATTTTGTCAAGTCAGGTTTTGAAATCTTTATTTCAAGACATGAAATAATTTATTAATTCCACCTTTATTGAAATCTGCCTTCCTGTGTTTGCATATGTTCTGACTTCAGTGGTCTGCAGCAAAACCAAAAGAAACTCATTTGAGAGGGATTCGGGAGCTGGCTTTTTTCCTTCATCAAGAATTGCATGGAAATGTGTGACCAAACATGTTTGCCATCGCTGGGAAAGCGGCTGTGGTTTGTGGGGGCAAGAATGACAGGCCTGCTAGGAAGTAAGCTTGGGATCTAACTGTGTATATTAAATTTATCCGGCGGTGGAGAGGAGGCAGGGTTTGGACAGAGTACAGGCCTGCCCCTGACTTGTCCTATATAACCCCTTTTGAATTCAGAAGGAATTATCTGTGAATAAATATAAGGGTGGATGTGCATGAGTGAGTAAGAACTCGATCACCTGATGCGGGATTCCCATAGTGAGGTGTTGACTCGTATTTTTTTGTATGGAAAGCTATTTTCCAGCCTTAGAAACACTGGTTCCAGTTTGGGAAGGCATTGAAGCACTTGTACGAAGTGCTTTTCCAAGGAGGGATTTTTTTCCATAGTCAAGTCCTGTGTAAACTTGAAATGCCTTTGATTTAGGGAAGGGGCGGGGGGCAAGTGAAGTAGTTTCAGGTGCATAGTATCTTGCACATGGAGACCCTGTTCTGTTGGTCCTTAGGCAATACCAAGATAAAAAAAACAATACAAACACCTGCACTTGGATCGACCTGCCAAGTTCGGTAGCTTTATACTCCCTTTTCTATAACTTAAAAATAGGAAAGAGGAGGCAGTTTTTTTTGCTGTGATTCGGTTGCTGTGTTGAGAGAGACGTACAAACAGCACAAGCTGCCAGAACGAAGGAGGCAGTGAAACTGTCCTGTGTACTGGGCTGTTGCATGTACAGACAGGTTGGGGGAGGAAGGAGAAAACCCTTTCCCTGCCTTGCCTTCTCTTGTGCATTTAGCGTTCCTTCTACCATAGTAGTGACCTAAAATATTTTTGTATTCGGAAGTTGATGTCCCAGTAACTTCTGAATTTCAGGCCTAGTGTGCTAAAAGGTTTGATCTTTCCCTTCCCGGATAAATTGTGTTGAAATGTGCTTGATTTTCTAACTAGAGGGATTCCGGAGCAGAAAAATGTGCAAGTAAGTTCAGGGTTTGCTCTTTAATGTTGGCAGCTGCTGTGCAACATGCATTTTGAAACTGTAGTTCTACTTGTGTTAACAACAACAACAAAAAAAAGCTTTTTTTTTTTTTTTTTAATTGTAAGATACAATTGCATTTGTTTTGCACTTTCTAATCTTGAAAACAGAAGCTGGGTAAAACTGGCTGGCTCTAGCCAGCTCTGCCTCTAAGTACTGGAACCAGTTTAGTTGGGGGTAGGTCAGCAGAGTGAAAGTTTTGTTTAAGATCCTTTGCAACCATGTCAATATTGTTTCTCTTAACTTGTTTGGCTTTTGTGCTGGGTTTGTGAAGGTACAATACAGCTTAGCCCTTAATGCACAACTGTTTTGGCTTCAATATAGTAAAGCTATAAATAGGTACCCCCTTGCCTCCCCAGCAGTAGGAAATGACTGCAGCAAGTGTTGTTCTCTGCTAGAAATTTGCACGTTATTAGTACCCAAGTACTTTTTTAAAACTGGCTTTCGTGTTGTGTGTTCTTCCTTCGTTAAATGCCGACTGGTCATCAAGCATCTTGTTAAAATCTGAAATCTTCATTAAGACAAAAGAAATAAAACCGTAAAGATATTTTTGGTTTATTTCTGTGCAGCCTCTGTGTAAAGTGTATTTTATGTGCAATTATAGAAGTATTAACAGAAGGCACAGGAGAGCTGCATAATGCTGGTCACGGGTTAAAATGGTATTTTGAGTCAGTTAGCTGTGTTGGGCTGGAGTTCAGCAGTTCCTCCATGGTAGTACTGGTAGATGCTTGGAAGGCTGCGGGCAAGATTTGTATCCCTGCTTGTGCTGAATAGTACCTTGCACCGCGAATGACATCAAGAAAATAAATGGGGCTTTTTGTGCAGTAAGGTAGTGCTCAGAGTAAATAAGGATATTGCAGTCCGGTCCACGCGAAAGGAGTTTGATGGTATCAATAAACAAGCTTCCCCTTGACACAACACCCATCATTGCATTTGGATTAACTTTCAGTCTCGGCAAAGAACCCGAGTTGTTTGGGCAGGGAGAATAAATGCATTTGTGCTGCTGAGATTGTTTCCTTTCAGCCATGGTGGAGAGCCCTTGCCTCCTTGCCACTGTTGGGTGCTGAAGAAATAGTGAAATTGTTATCTGTATTATAAAATAACTCCCGAAACACATGAAATATGTTTAGAGAGGAGACATTGCTTTTTTCTGTGCAGGGTGCAAGGTGGAATACTTCCACAAATCAAGCACACTGCTCAGTCAGGCAAGTACAGTACTTACACAGTTTGATTATACATACTCATTTTCTAAACTCTTGTTATTAGTAAGTAGCCTCTCATTAGTCTATATTTTCCTTGTTTCGATTTGAAGCTACAGTGTGATTTTTAATTTACTGCACATGTCCAAGGAGAGTGGGGGGGGTGGTCCTTTTAGCCTCCAGGTGAGTCGGTGGTCGCAATCTCCCCTGCTGTCTTTACCTTTCCCCTCGTTACTGTGACTTCTGCTGACTTCATGTTTGTGGCATTCTTCTTATCTTCGCAACCTTCCTTGTAGCAGGATGTTTCCACCCTTGAAGTTCTTCTTTGTGGGTATAGTTGTTAGCAAGGCATGTATCGTTTCATTATCTCTTGCCTTGAATATAATGCATACCGCAATTCTCGTGTTAGTTTCTATCCTTAAACTATAATCTCTTTCTTAGTTACTAATTTGTCTTGCATTATTTCTATTCTATCTAAATGAATAAAATATACATGCTTGAGGTAACAGAATCAAGGGGAGATGCACTGTGTATTTATAGCGTGTGTGTGGGGAAACAACAAAGGGGGACAGTCTGTGTTTCAGCTCCTCTTTAACATGTATCTGCCTTTATACCCCTTCCTTTTTCCCACAGATGTGAGAGCTGTGTGGAACTGCTGTTTGTGAGAGGGGCTGGGAATTGCCACGAGTGCGATACCCCCCTGCGGAAGAGTAACTTCAGGGTACAGCTCTTCGAGGATCCTGCTGTTGACAAGGAAGTGGAAATTCGGAAGAAAGTGCTGAAAATGTGAGTGTCACCAGTTAAGTAACAGAAGGTGGATGTATTTCATGGATCACCATTTAAAAAAAAAAAGACTTATTCCTCTAGGAGTACAGAGGAGATAATTTTTATTTTTTTAAAGTGACAGCCAGTACAACTTGACTCCATTTAACAGGAGGGATTTCAGAGAATCTGATTTTATGCAACAAATGTGGGCTGAATTCTTAATTTAGCCTTGAGGGATTTCTGCTTAGCATTAGAAAATGTTGGGTGTTTCTATGTGGCCTCCTTTGGCAAAGACTTGCCTCCTAAATGGAGATGATTAGAAATTGAGGAGTACAGCTGCTTTCCCTTTGAGGGGGGTGAACATGGGAGTGGGGCAAGAAACAGGACCTTGATTGTTTTGTTCCCTGGGGACCTCTTCTGTGAGTTGAAGGCCAGTTCCCTTCAAAACGAAAATGGACAAAAGAGAAGCTGTGTTCACATTATTTTCTACTTCACACAGCAATTGTTAGTGGAAATGCTTCCTTACAAGCCTTGTGTTAGTAGTCAGTCATGCAGATTTGAAACTTCTTGGAATTGAGATAAATGAGATCTAAAATTGCGTCTCACTCCTTGCGGCCAAGAAACAACATTTTATAAGGAAAATGTGTCAGCTGGTTGATGTTTTGGTAGAAGAGGGTCTGATGGAACGTAACAAACCTGGAGGGAGCTGTGTGTGCATAAATGAACGTACAGGTAAATTGGAAGCTTGGCAGCCTTTATCTAAGACTTAGTACAATACTGAATGAATTATATGATGTTGCTGAGATGTGGGGAAATTGCATCGTTGAATACCAAGATGGTGATGGGGAAAGTAGTAATAATTTTGACGTTTGATTATAAAGTCTACTGAAGTTAACAAAAGTCAAACTGGAATGAAGTCAGCTTAGTTGACTAAACACGGAATGAATTGTAGTTAGAACAGGAAACGTTGTAAAATGCTTGGCCCACTTGGGTTTGCCAGATTAGTCTTTGGTAGGCAGGAGAAATGTCCCCAAATTGGAATTTGGCCTGAGTTCTTGGGATTAGATTTTTATACTCCTGGCTGTCATGTATCTTGGTCCACAAAGCAGGCAGAATCTCAGCTTTATGTTTTCTTGGGAAGAAAGCCTGCATGTCTTGACTGTCAGAGGCTGTCCGCGTTCTAGCCAGTTGTCCCTTCATCTTTTTACTTTTTCCAGCTGTCAAGAGTTGGATAAATGACTTCTGGAATGGTCTATTGATATGAAATAAGATCATTGTGTAGCATTTTCAGTTTGCTGCTGATGTATGCTTTCTGTTGCTGGCACAAAGCCAAACTCCCTTTTCTGGTAACTTCTTGTGGGTGTTGCTGTTGTCTCTGCCTTTGTTAACAGGTTTCTAATGCTGAAGGGCTGGCTTGGAATTAGTGTATCCTAGCCTCTGTGCTCCTCTTTACCTGTAACCCTGGCAAAGGAATTGGCAAACAGTAGGCAAAGATAGCACTGATTTATGCCAGGCTGGCTCCTTTTCTTTGAAACAAGTGCTTCTGTCTCCTTTTAAAGATGCTGTATATTGGTCAGTTGTGGGAGCCACAAAGCACATAGTTGATAAAAGTAGGTCAATACTTAATATGCTTGCAGCAAGAGCCTTGTTGAATTGAAATTGCATCTTTGTGTGTTATATAAATACTTGTTTCTCTTCTCTCAAAGATACAATAAAAGAGAGGATGACTTTCCCAGTCTAAGTGAATATAATGATTTCCTGGAAGAAATAGAAGAAATTGGTAAGTCTTAATGCTTTCATTTTTAATGTGCTATGCTCATGAGACCATGGGCTTTTATCTTCTGACTCAGCTGCCTATGAGAATGTCTAAGTTGAGTTTCTGTAATAGGATTTATCATAGTATCAGATGTTTATCTAATTACTTTTTTTCTGTACATTTTTAATCGTATTTGCTGAACTGTAGGACATCGTTAAGTAAAACATTTTATCTGCCAGAGAAAAAACATGATTCAAAAAGGAAGTAGTGCTTTATAGCTGGAAAAGAAAGGCTTGCAGGGGATTGTTGGTGCTGCACTGGGAAAGATTAAACAAAGCGAGGAGAAATTGAAATTTTCATTATATGCCTCCATTAGCTTTATCTACCATGACAGAAGCCATATGGTGTCTTTCATCATTTTTGGTTCTGCAAGTACAGTAGTTGAAGCTCCTTTGAAGCTGATGACCTTACATACCACTGTGGTAGCATTTTATGTTGCTTTGCAGAAGGAGAAGGTTTAGGAACAGACATTGATTTCTTTCTCTTTGGATTAGTTGAAGCAGAACTTTGCCCTTTGGGAAGGGACTATTTTATCAACAGAGTTTATTTTTTTCTTACTTAGGGTGACTTGTGATTTATGGTGGTGATAGATTTTGCTTAGAAAAACAAGGATGTGTTCAAAGGAGTGACTCCTAAATGGTTTGTTTCTTGGGTTTTCTGAGCTTCTGAGGCTTTTCTATTTTTGTCCTGGAGGAAGAAGAGGTGGCTTAGAACATGCAGGAGGGGCAGTGAATGTGATTTGAATGAAAACATGGGGATGCTACTCCCCTTTGGTTTCTCAAAGGAGCCCTTGCTCCTCTTTGCACTGTGGTGTTTTATAGAAATGTATCCAGTACACTTAACTGCTGTGAGTAATGTATCATGTTTTTGTTGGCATTGGAAGGCTGAGGCCGGAGAGCTAAATCGTGTGGCTGGGAAACACCAGGCACACTCATAAGGGTCCAGATACCTGGAGGAGACAGTGTGGGTGTAGTTCTGTTTGTATATTTTTTTGGATGGTGTAGGGGAAGGAGGGAATGAGTAGAAAGAACGGTTGCACCTTAGCCAGAGGATCCTGGAAGAATCTGTGTGCTCATGGAAAGAAAAACTGCTTTTTATTCGTGTAGCGTTAAATACAGGTTTCCTACTTACTGCTGTTACGGGGGTTTTCAGCATCTGCAACGAGGGAGCTGAAGTTTTGCCTGAAGTTGCCTGAATCTCATAAATTCCTGCAGAATGTTACGATTCTTCAGCTCTTGGGATTAGATTGTTAAATTTCAAATGGTTCCAGAGCCTGCACTGGTAACTTGGTTTAGAAGCAGCAGAGTTCATGGCTGGTCTTCATAACCTTGTGAAGAAGAGTGAATCTGTCTGTAATTGTGCTGGTCCTGCAAATGTATAATGTAGAAGTTCAATAGATAGAGTTGTTAGGAATTGGAGTTAGTTGCCCAAAAGGGACACCTAAAATACTAAAAGGAATAGAAAGTATGACTACCTCCTAATTTCTTCATGTAGCAGCCAGGGCGATGAGAGGAAAGAAGGGGTGCAGTCAGAAGGGTCTTAATTTTCACCATCAAAGGGGTCATTTGTGACTTAAGGCAGATCCAAAAGCTGGAGGGCGGGTTAGGTTCAAGAACAACACCTTGGGTAAGAATTCAAGCCCTGTTCTCCTTTCCCTGGTGACAAAGCTCCTTGCACGCATCTTGCTTTCAAACTTTGTAGATTGTTCCCATCTCCCCAAGTCCTTCCCTGCCTGCACTCCTGGACAGAGTTCTCCACCTGACAGTTGTCTGGTATGCAGTGGTAGTGTGACTTCTTCCAGTGTTTTTGCTGTGCATGTTGTGTGTGGTGTGGCTGAACAATGTGCTAAAGGTATCTTCAACTCTGGTTACTTCACATTTTACTGCTGAGAGTAGTTATTTCTTTTTTTTTTTTTTTTTTTTTTTTGTGTGTGTGTGCATGTGAATTCCCTGTTCGCTTGTGTGTGTGGAAAAATAAGGCTGCAAGAAGGGAAAGAAAGGGTGTTGTCATGCAGAGCAAAGTTGTGCCTTGTGGGGTCAATGTACAGCAGGCTGGCAGTAGCTGGTGGTGGTTGTTCAAGCTGCCAGGTTAGGAAGCTAGGGAGTCAGAGGCCTGGATTTCCCCTTTCTCCCCCCACCCCAAATTTTCAGTTTTTCTGTGGGAAGGTCAAAGTGCAGCTTTACCCTGTTTTCTTTTTGCTGGTAAGTTTTGTTTTCTAAGTTGTTGTGGGAGATCAAATGAAGTAGTTGCTTGGCAGAGACAAGATGTAAACATCCTGTGTAAGTATACTTCATTCTGATTCTGCTATTTTTTCCAAATGTTTCAGGTAGGTCAGCTCCAACATTTGCAGCAATTGCACTGTCTTATTCCATTGATGTGATATACGACCTCACTTGAAACACATTTCCCCCTTCGTATCAGGATTGCTATACCTACAGACTTTTTCTATTTAAAGAAAAGTGTTGGGCGGTACAGCAAAAGTGTGAGAGGGGAAGGTCAAACAAACATTAGGGTAGTCACCTCTTAAGATTTCTTTTATAAAAAACACATTTTTGAAGTGGTTTAGAATGTAGCCACTAAATAATGCTTTGGGCTAAAATGCGTTATACAAGGCTTTAAATAGAAACCACATTTTAAAGCAAGTTTTCCCCAGAAGAAAAATCAGTTAGACAATTTGAGAACATTGTAAACACAGTTTGTTGTTATTAACACTAGGAAGAAAAATAAAGTAAAAGGGTTAAAACCTGCCTTTGGGAAAAGTGTGGACAACATCTATCGGAGTAAGTCAGGCCTATGCCCAAATGAGGAGAGGGGCAAGGTTAAAGCTTAGAGAGTTGCTACAGGTTACAATCTCTGGACATCATGCTAATTTGGCTGGCTCTTTCTACAAGGTTTTCTTCTTCCCCAGAGTATCTCCGTAGCTAGTCTTTCAAAACCCGGTGTGTAAGCTCTCCAGTGCAGGGCCTGCCTCCTAGCATGTGTGTACAGCGCTGCCTGGCACCATTCTCCTGATACCTGAATGGGCCTTTAGGCATTACCGCAACATAATTGTTAATAGCAATTATTGCTTTTTAAAAACATTTAGTACATTCAACTTGGAAGGAGACTACTATATTTATGCCCTTTGGATTCCTGTATCTCGTTACTCCTCTAAGACTTTATGCAATACCAGCTGCCTAGTGACTCGTCTTGCTTAGCATGTTTATCTCACAAGTGATCTTTGGATAGAAAGGATTTTGGTGTCTATGATCACTTGTGGGTTGTGTTGTTTATTGGTTTGGTTTTTTTTTTTTTTCCCCTCTGCGTGTGTGCACGAGGATGGTATTGCTGGTCGCGATGATGGGGAATAACCCAACTGGAAATGGGGCAGCTTTATCAAAGATCCATTTCAGTCATCTCATCTGACCAAAGATTTCAGTACCACACTGTTCCAGCCAAAACGATCTTTCTTAGACCAATGGGGCTGAGTGATTTCAATCATTTGTTACTATGCTAAGGTATTTTTTCTGCAAAATTATTGTCCCAATAAAAGACAACTGAGGATAAGCAGAAATAGTTATTTATACCTAACTAGATTTTTCTGGCTTAGCTGTGGGTTTTTATTTTGTTTCTGATAATTATTTTGTTATAATCACAGAAATGTTGTTTGGAAGGGATCTGTTAAGAACTATTCCATCTTTTCTCCGCCTCACCTCCCTCCTACCGCTTTTAAAAGTACCAGGGCAGAGGTTGGCCCAGGCATCGAAAGCACCAACAGAAGGTGCCGCAGTAGCTTTGGACTCCCCGGCCAGACTGAGGATGTGGTTGTGTCTCCCTTCATAGTGCTCTGCCCAAAGCAGTTGCTCTTCTGCCATGCCTGGTCTGTAGCTGGTCATTTAGGAAGATGATCAAGGAGTTATTTGTGGCAGGGTGGGGGGAATATTGTTTATTACAAACTAATACATACTAATTTAAAAATTTTCAGCGGGGTTGTACCAGCAATGCAGATCAAACACTGTCATCAGAGTAATCACCTGCTGTCTTGCCAGAGAGAGAATGTTCCTAATAGTTGAATAGCAAATATTTTTGCATGGTAACATTACTGTCTTTTTAAGGAACTAGGAGGAGAAGTCTCAGAAAATTTGCGGTATCTCAGACTAAAACAGGGAGATTTTGGTGGACTTAAAGTCCTGCACTGGAGTGACATTCATTCATACTACTGTGTCTCTGGACAAGTTATTGTGCCATGTAATTAAAATTTTTGTCTCGTTGTCTTTTTTTCTTTTATAACTAGGAAAATATTTTTCCATTTGTTGTAGAATTGCATAATGAATGTTGTTGTTTTGAAAAGCAGCGAAAGTCTCCCTTCTGAATTTCAGAAGTAGGGAGTTTTGCCTAAATAGAGTGAAATGTTTCAGAAAAACACAATAGTCTTCCTGTTATACTTCAACAGATGTCTCAAGGCAAGTCACTTTATAAACCAACCAATGTGAGATGGATAAGTAGATAAAGAATTGTTGCATACAAAACAGCTTCTGTTTCTTTCCCCTGAAGGGTTTCAGGCCTCTTATATCGGCTTATGTTATATTTCAACATGGACAAAAATAAGTCTGGCTTCTCTTTGAAACCTTTTCAAACTAGCCATCTGCTTTGCCAGTCACATTCAGATCTATACCAATATTTTTTCAGGGTAGGTGTAGCATATGAGTTAGGTTTTTTTAACTCTTTCTGGTTCTTCTAATTTTATGATTTGTTTTGTTGTATTTTCTAAAAAGGGAACATTTGCAAGAATTGTATTTAAGATAAATTTCTGGCAAAACTTAAAGCAGACCAAATAAAAAAAAAAAATTGCATAGTCCTAGCTATGCAAAAGGTAAGATGTTGAGTATTAGTGAGTGTGTTCTTTGAGTTGATACTTGTTGATTTTTAAATGCCAAGTAACTTGTGGAGGGGACAAGGGAGAAGAGAAAGAAATAATCTCTTAATTATTTTTCGTGACTTAGTGTCCCTTACAAAATGGACTTGTCAACTGTAATTGCGAGGATACAATGGCAAGAATTTGTATGCTCTGAATATTGATGAAAAGACATTTGAAGCTCATGAAAAGTATATTAGAAAATATGTTGGAAGATGTTTTGGCTGCCTGGTTGGCCACTGTTAACCATGCGATGTCAAAGAGCATAGTTTGTTTTGCTGCTAGGGTGTTTATTGTAGGAGGGAAGATACTCTTTTCCTTTATTAAAGGACAACTGTTGACACTGATGTTGATCTAGAGACATCCAGGTCTTAACACTGTTGTAATAAAATGCAGCTCTTCAGTATTTTAGGTCTTGAAATGTGGACAACTTAGTGTTGAGGAGCAGATGCTTAGGACCAAGGTAATGTTCCTCTTCAATGACTGAATTAATATTCAGTGGGAGAAATCTGCTCTGGCCTTTGAGTGTGCTGGAAGTATGAATCTCTCTGATTGCTGGTGTCCTACTGTATCCTCAAGTGGCAGAGTGGAGCAAGGCTGGCAGAGCAGAATCAGCATGGTATGAGCAGATCTGACCATTGAGAGGATTTTACCTGTGGTTTGGTTCCAGCCACAGCAGCAAAACAGAAGGGGAAATAAACTGTCTTTCACCTTGCTGTGAGCAGAGCACTGGGCATTTAAGGTGGCTATGCAGGTGGATATTGAAGATTTCTTAAACACTGATGCAGAAACAGATCTCTTACATGGAAATGTTACTTCATATCAAGCAGCAAAAGAAACCTGCTTTTTTGTAAGTTGTTCTAAATAAAGGCAGGCATCTGCATATGTCTAAAATTTGCCTATTTTCCCCAGTATGAGTTTTAAATCTTACGGTTTTTGTTCCACAAACCTGGGTTCTGACTGGTTGAACTGTCGTGGTTTAACCCCAGCCAGCAACTAAGCACCACGTGGCCGCTCGCTCACTCCCCCTGCCCTGATGGGATGAGGGGGAGAATCGGAAGATGAAAAATGAGTAAA